ATTAATGATCAGGTGCACTTTGGATATTTACCCCTTTACTTTTACAGGTCTACTTGTTCTACTTTGCATATCATAATCTCCAATCTTTTCGTATTTGGCTGACAATGCCTACTTTGCCAGTTGTCCTCCACTTCTTTTTACAAGTTAGTTTTGAGTGATGAAAGTATTTGCCAATTCACCAGTGTTTGGTGTTAGTTAATTCATTGCCCTAAGTGGTTTCGTCTTCTGAATCTTTTTGGAAATTTATTTATGATTATCATGTGTATCGTGTATATCTTCTATTCCATGACATGTCACCATTTTTCTTAAAATAAAAGCTGTATCTGATATTTGATCATGTTGTCGAGCTGTTCCTGGAATTTTCTGGAAATAATGACATACAGAATAGACCTTTTTTTGTGTGCATAATCTGTGGCTGTGGCACTTATTTTTATTTGTACTTTAAACTTCTCAAAACTTGATGTGAAATCTGTTAAAATGGCTGAAACATGTGAAACAACCTCCTATTGAGTCCAACTGGTCAGGCTTTTATCAGTATAGATGGTGAAATTTTTGTACCCAAGAATTCCATCATTGAGATAATATCCACTAAGTTGTACTTCTGTCTGAAAAGAAGTCAACATATACCTTTTCAGTCTCCAAAATATCTTATGGTTTAAATACATAGTAGGTAATTTTATTTTTTTAAAGCAAGTTTAACAAGATTCTAAAGGATAATGTTTTGTCACATGATGTAGTTTGACCTTCAAAAACTTTCTTATTTTGGCAGTGGAGTGTTGGACTATTATTTTTGGGATCCTGAAGGCTCTTGATTATTTATAAATTTTTAAGATGAATAGTGTTGTCCTTTTGATTCTGGTCTATGATATATCAAATAGATACGGCTGTCGGTAATGGAAGTATTGGCTTCATTGATTATTCATGATATGTGATTATTTAAGTGTTGGAATGGTAAATATGTGAATAACTTACTAAGTTTTTCTGCCTCTGAATCAGGTCTGTAAGACTCGTGGTGATATTGACAAAGTTACCAGGCAGCTATATTCCTTGCAGGAGACAGTTTCCATTTTGGTGAGTTGATTGTATGAGTAATCCTATATTCCGATTTTGTTAAAATAGTTATTCATGCTATCTAGCATGTGGAGTTGGCAATAATGATTTTGACTTATGAGTCCCTCATCAACTTGAATTAGTCTTTTGAGTTATTTCTTTTTTACCCCTTGCTGTCCAGCAGCCTTCAAAGCCATATTTTGACCATTGATGTCTGTAAATTATATATTTGTAAATATTAATATATTATGCTACGAAAGCAATTTCTTCAATAAAAATAAAAATCAATAAATAATAGACATATAGTTCTGTTACTGGAGTTAGTATTCTTTTAAAGATATTCACGACCAAACATTGCCAATTTTGATCTTCTAAGTCAAAACAAGCCCTATTAGCTGGAGGGACTTGTATGTATGAAATTCCCAAAATCTATATGATGCTGGGAAAAAAAATAAAATAATAAAGCAAGTTAGGGCCACCCAATGGTGAATTGAGAATTTTTTATAGGCTTAGTATTATTGGTTGAAAGTATGAATATTGACCCATAATTAGTTCATAATTTAAGAGATGAGATCCTGAGAATAATATGATAAACTCAAGCCATTTTCATATATCTAGAAACAATGCTTTTTTTTCTAGAAAACAAGTATCCTTGACCAATAAACCAAAAAATTGGAGTCTTGCTCGATCGTTTTATAGTCCTACAAATAACTTGGACCCTAAGTTATCCGAATATACCCTGATTGATCAATTTGGTGAGTGGGCTAGCATGTACGTAGTATAATATATGCTCTGTGTGTGTGTGTGTGTGTGTGTGTGGAGCAGTCTTAGCCATGTTTCAAAATAAGGTGCACCAACATGCCTGCTTGATTTCTGTATGGCATAACTTATGCCAATTACATGTGTGTAAGATGCTAAATATTCATTTGTAACCTGAGCTCTTGCTCATTGTCATGCTCCATTTATGTTTAATGTGTTACAATGTGTGAAGTTACAATGAATATCTCCTTTCTGTAGATATATGCATTCCATGCAATGATTATTTTGGTTGTGCTTCAAATTTAACTGTATAGTCTTATCTTGGGTTTTGGCCTCTTGGGACTTCTGCTTCCTTGTGTTTGTATCTCCTTTATATTATTAAAAGAATTGTTAGTTTGCAGATGCTGCAATTAACCTACAGTATTTGTCATCTGAAGCAATGATTTCTGTTAGACCTGATGCTTCTTATATCAATTAGTGCTATTCGAATTTAGTTTGAAAATTGATTTTTCTTCAGCAATAATTTCTATGTGTTCTTGTAAAAAGTTGTTGATGCATGAAGTGAAATCCTTATCTGCTTTTACTTCTTCATCTATAAGCTTAATTAATAAGTCTATATTCTTTATTTTCATTGGTACTTTTGGCAGGATGACAAGATGGGTTTATTCGAAGAGAAACAGGTATGGTGTTTCATTTGACCTTTTTTGTTCGCTTCAAAATATTATTTTAGCTTTAGTAAGAAAATTTTAAATAATTAAGGTTTTCATAGTTTAATTTTGGGTTTGGACATCTTCCCAGAAGCCTCGAACCAGTGAGCAATCTAGTAAACTTCAACATGGTTTACATTGCATATGCTGGAATTTGGATGGTTTTAGTTATGCATATTCATTCTAAGTAGTGAAATTTGTGTCTCTACAGACGCTTACACTTATGGGTGTGGATTACTTGGTCAACTTTGTTGATGGGAAGACTTCAAAGGCGCCAGGGCTTTCTCAAAACTTTCAGGTACGTTTCTAGAGTTCATACAACCTACTTTTTGCCAGGTTGATAAATAAGTCTACATGGCAATTACCATTGGTATCTCTGCTTGTTGTAACTTGTTGCTGAAGATGCTTCTGTTCTATTTGTGGGCTAGATATAAATTATAGAAATGGAATCAAATATCTGTTGCACTGCTAGACTTTGTTGTACTGAGTAGCCTTTTATTGCGTACTTGTGAGGCAAACTGGCAAAGGGATAAGGAGCTTTTGAGTTGGGCAGGTTTAGTAGTTGAATGAGCAATAAGATGAGATATTGTGTGATGCCACGTTTGTGTGACTTCTATCTGACAAGCTAATTTCTTCATGAGAAGCTATGTATTGAATGGACTAGTTTTATACGAAGTATTATATATAGACAGTAAATCTTAGTATTTGTGCAAGACCGATTGATTAATTGCTGAAAGTCATCTTAAGAAATGTATCATCCTATATTATTAGAATTCACCTGAAATACATAGTTGCATACAGTTGTGCTTTGAAATATGTTATGCCAACTAACTTCTTATGAGATTGTCTCGTGTAAGAATTGCCAAAGTCAATGTGATATATGAGTCATTGACATGCTACTTGACTGATGTCTCTCAGGAACAACTGAAACTTGGCAAAATGCGTGCTCAGCTCCCATCTTCAAATGCTCTTGGCCTCCAGGTTCAATCCTAACCTCCCAAAGATCTCAATGAAGATGATTTCTAAAATTGTCTCTCTATTCTCCAACTTTTGTCTGCGTGGTAGCTTGGAAGCCATTTTCTTGCAATATATACTGTTGACATGTATAAATTTATGTTTAGCATCTATTCTTAACTCCTTGGAAAAGTTATATTGTTGTTTTGTGCACTTTTAGTAATTAATTCTGTCATGGTTCAATTATTTGTTTTTCTTGGTGCTAGACAAAATTTCAATGAAGAGCATTGCTGACATATTAATGATGTCTTTTTGTTTTTCATCTTCAGGGCCTCAAAGCACTCGCAGACTCAGCAAATGAGATCAGATCCATCAAAGGTGTTGAATGACCAGCCAAAAACGAATTTGACTAGGTTTGGACATCTTACTTGTATTGCTCCAACACTTCTTGGCTCTTTTTTTTTGTTTAAGATTTATTAATAAAAAAAAAATAAAAAAAACCACAACTTTTAGAAAGGCATACCAATACACATCATTATAAAATATTGATGAAACATTTTACACGAAATTTATAACCGTACAAATTATACACAATTGATATCTAATTGTTATTTTGTGAACACCATATTATAACAGTGGCAGATCCAGGATTTTGTATTAGGGGTAGCACATATCATGTCATTTAATAATCTAAAATCAAAAAAATATTGATTAGAAAATCAGCCAATAGATGAAATTTTTTAATAAACACTCAGGTGTCAATTATAAAGGCAGTATTAAATTTTACAGTTTTTGTATAATATGTTACCGGCCAATTTTATTTATTTATTTATTTTTAGTAGTGGTAGGCTGGTAGCACATTGTCATGGGTCGTCTCCCACCCAAACGTGCACCCTTGGGTTGCAATATAGATCTGCCAGTGATTCTAAATGTGTATAAAATGATTTATATAAGGTGAAAGTATATTAAAAAATGATTGTTGGAAAATGTGAGAATTGCTGGAAGCAATAATTTGATATCATAGAAACCTCAAATTTTGATGCTTATTGTTACTACTTTTCCTTTGTCAGTTGGTTTTAATCGCTTCAGGTCTGCTTCAGTCAAGGCTTCAAAGTTCTGGAAATTTCAGGCTGCTGTTGGAGAAGTCGTATATGGCAATAAATTTCATAAACCGTATATATTAGTGAGCAGAAAGGTTGTAGGAAGAAAAACCATTGCGATTTTTTTACTTATCTAAAAAAAAATTATGGGCTACCTTAAGTTTTTTTGCATAACCTCCTTATATGTTCAAAGTTTTATGTACATCTTGAGCTCAAGATCTAACAAGAACCTTTTATTATTCAAACACTAAAATATTCACCGGAATATTTTTGCATCAGATTGCAGAATGTGAAGTATACCACTGCGAAATGAAACACTCTGTATTTTTGTGTTGTACAATTTTCTAGTTTTTTTTCTCACTGGATCTAACATATATAGCTAGAGTATGATGTTAGCAATAGGTGTTTTACTTCATTATATATTTGTATATACCCTCTCCTACAGGATTTAACCTTTGCATTTGTTGCCATCGTGAAGAAATGCATGATGCATTCGTTTCAAGTATGAAAACGAAGGAGACTTTTGGTTGAGCGATAGTGGTTTGGTGTTTGCTGTGACTGCAAAATACGCAAATAAGTCGTGTTCGTGTAGAGACAAAATTTATGGACGTTTGATCATTTAAGAATAAGTCATGCTCGCGTAGAGACAAAATTTGTGGACGTTTGATGTTCATTAAGAATCGGGATGTGGATATAATTGTTATTTGTTGATTACACTTTACCCGATTTGGCAATCATCTATTTCTACAAATGTAGACTGAAACAATAACAAAAGCAAAACATTTTTTCTACTGTAACCTCATACAACTCTGTTAGCAAGCTCGTTTAGGTACACATTTTAATGGTCCTGCATATTTTGTAGCTCGCCCGGCAAATCTCCCATGCATTGAACCTATCATCTTACTTTCGATAGTTTGTAACTGCAATGGTGCGCGTGACTGCAGGAAGGTAGCCCCGTTTATCAGCACGTCTCTATTTGAAATCCATGTCCCACTATCCCATGGTGATGATGGTATCTGTCTGTGAGTAACCTACGTTCAAAATGAAACAATAATTAGCTAAAAATTTGATGAAGTACCCGGTAATCCTCATTGCTTTTAAGAGATGCATGACATAATGTTATACCTCTTTAGCTCTTGGGTTGATAGGGGCGATGAAACGGTTGCCCTCACTGAGGATGGTTGGGTTCTTGCCACCACCAATGGCGTACATTAGCCAGTGAGTGTAGTCGTTGTTGACTATATGGAAGAATCCCCATCTACACCTTGGCATCCTTTGCACTAATCCTTTCCCAAAGTGAGTATATGCAATTGTTATTTGCATATTCCTATCTTCATAATGGGTGTCTGATGCACCAAACAAAAATACCTGCATATATACATTACCTACTTAGTTAACTGACTACATCATATAGATTTGACAGCATTGATTCCACACCACATACTATACGTATCACCTTGTCATGATCAGTCATATGGCAGTTAGAGATGGTAATCGCGGTTGAGCCTTTGATGATATCAACGAGTCCATCCGAAGCCTTGGAGAACGAACAATGATCAATCCATATATTATGTGATGCAAAGATAGAGATGGCATCCCCATCACTTTGAGTCCTGAAACCGAAATGGTTAGCTGAATCCCTGATTAGTCCTCCAGAACCTGGGACTATGTCCCTAAGCTTGATTCCATGGATGATAATGTTCTCCACATATTGCAATGTGATCCCAGCCCCACCTTCAATGACTACGTGTGAACCCCGGCCATCAATGGTCTTATTGCTATTAACTATAAGCTCTTGGTTGAGCCTAATTTTCATCACAGGCTTAGCAAATACAATCCATAATGGCTCGTCTTGGATGACTGCATGTCTTAATGTTCCGGGTTTAGGGTTCACCATATCATCGTCTGAGGGGTCTTTCACCAAGTACTTGCGCCCTGCCTTGCCCCCGGTAGTCCCTCTTCCAAACCCCAACGCACATTTGGCTAGCTTTCGTCTCTTCTTCTCCCAATCAGCTTGGCACCTCCAACATGCATCGATTGGATTCGTATACATGCAGCCTTTTTTGTACCTCTTTGCTAATTCCCTCCTTGTGTTGTTTCTCCCTACCTCATCTTCTAACCACCTGCTTTGTAAACTACACATAAAAACTTTCTTTAGCTAGATATTGAAACAAGTAAACCTTCCTATTTTCTATTTTATTCCTTATTTTCACATTTAATATAAACATTTTATCTAAGGGTCAATTCATTATATCAAATGACACAAGGTTCTTGCCTTGTCCATATATGTAATGTTTTAGAGCTAGTATTATGAAACTCTTTCAATCTCTTATGATCAAATACAAACTTTAATTTATTGCTTAAAGGTATATAATTAACATAAATTTCTCTCTTATATCTTTGTTAATAAGGTAAATTTGTCGATATGCTGATTTCTTCATTATAAAACGAGTTGGTTGGGACAATGTAATAATTAACCTTAGATAGATGTAGTAGATTACGTGCATGCTTGATGCATGATGCTTCTCCTTATGGGTTTTTATTGAAACATAGATAGATATATAATTAGATATAACATTTTGAGATGAGGAAAAAAAAAATAACTCACATTCGAGAACGAAGGTTAAGGTGGTTTGTGACATTATAGGGCTGAGGATAGTAGGCTGCCTCAAGTTTCCTCTTAGCTTCTTGTTCACGTAGTTTCCAATAATTCTGTGACTCAAAAGTGGTATTTTGTGCCAAAGTCAAGACGAGATAAGATAAAAAACACATTAGGAGAAACATTAAATCTTGTTTCTCCATGTTTATTTTGTGGCTGAATTAACCCAAATGCTTTGATAAATAAATTAGTAATGTGGTTAATTCAATTCATGATGTAATTAGGGGAAGATTTATATCAACACCCCATTTGAGCAATTCCTCTGTCTCCTACCCTGAATTAGAAGAAAACCAAGGTGACAACTTGTATTGTATAAATAATATGGGGTGTAAAAATAATTATATCTTTTTTTAGGTGGCATAATCAAGGAACCAATAGTTATTTAGGCTTTCCTCACAAAAAAAAAATAAAAAAATAAAAAAAAAAAAAAGTTTATTTAGTCTTCTAGGTATGGTATCTTTCCTTTAATCTTTTGGTAGGAACAGATCATGAATGTCAATTATATTAGATAAAGTCAAATAATATTTATATCATTTGTCCTTTGTGATTCTCTTCATACACAACAAAAAAAAAATTTGAGGGAAACAACGTACTATAAAATATTTACGATGACATAGCCTGTTTCTTACTCCTCCAATCCTTTTAATTTGCACCATTTGCTTTTTCAGAGTTCTAAAATTTTTTTTTTACTATAGTTTGCACCATAGCAAGTTAGCAACACCATTGCTTCTAATAAAACCACCAAAAAAAAAAAAAAAAAAAAAAAACAAAAAAAAAACCCATCTTATATTGAGTTCTTTTTATTGTTGTTATAAGTTCCATAAACAAAGTATGTGGCTAGAAATGATATTGTAGCCCTCTGAATACTGGTTAGGGACTTATGGTAATAAATACAAGTATCAAATTAATAGTACTTCAAAACCATGGTATCATTTCACATGTTAATGAATAATGATTGCTGCAGTGGTTTGGGAAGTTTGAGAGTTAAAGATATTTTAAGGACTACAATGGCAAAAATTCATGTTATGGACTTGGATTTGAACTGTGAAAGTTATCGCCTTAACAGTTAGTACATCAAATAACAGTCATGTTACAATGATTTTTGTTAACTTTATTAACTTTTTTTTCTGTCAATTTCATTATAAAATCAGAAGAAATGATTTTCGGAGGGAAAAAAAGAATCAAAATTGCACTAAATGATTTAGTGTAAGCCTATATCCAACTGCTAGCATATTTTTTCTTCACTGGCTACATAACCAATGAAATAGTTCGGAAGGTGCCTAGAGTACACAGGGATTCTTTGTTGATCATATTCAGGAATTTTCCAGCATGCTTTCATTCCCTTCTTTTTTCTGGTAGGAAACTGCGAAATGTCTGGCAGTTCTGAAGCTGGCACGGTACTCAGTTCCATCTTCCCTGGCATTCCTCGGTAGTTGTTAGTGATACTGTCCCTGAAATCCTTCTCAAGTGAAGTTACATTGATACCCATACATCGTGTCAAGCCCCAGTAGAAAACTACACTTGGTTCCGAGTCTACATTTCCTATGTCAGCATATTCTGTGGGGTTGGGGTCACAAGAAACACGGATCTCCTCCAACTGCAAGGAAAAGCAAATATGAGAAAATCGTCAGACATTAATGAGCGTTGATGTGTGCAACTGTGTGCACAGGAGTGAGTGAAATGGGAAATTGTCAAACAAACAGGGGAAGGATAAGATTACAGACAATGTGCACGCACATATACTCAAGAACTTGCACACACACACACACACGAGTGATGATTGCTGGACAAAAAAGCACTTTCAATTATCTTTACTTTCTTTCTAAAGCATTCTTCAGACACACACACACACACATACACACGAGTGATGATTGCTGGACAAAAAGGCACTTTCAATTATCTTTACTTTCTTTCTAAAGCATTCTTCAGACACACACACACACACACACACACACACACACACACACACAAGAGCAAATCAGGGCCATCTTTATGGAAGCCTCAACCAAAATTTCATAAGCCCGTGACTAAAAAACCAGAGAGCTCAATTAAACAAGCACTGCCCACAGCTCAAAACACCAATAACCCAAAAGATATCAAACAAATACTATCACTTACTTTCAAGATGAGGGAGGGGAAACGTGACTTCACCCATCCGACCCAATCTCCCAAACCATCTTTCGCACAAGATAAAAGGTAAATTTTGAGAAATTGGGAATACAGCTTTCTGTAAGCATTAATGTAAGGTTCAAATAAACTATCTCTGTCAAATTCAGTCTGCAGGATCTCCTGCAATAAAAAAGATAGAAAATAATAAGTATATATGATTATATGTTAGTGAAATATGTAAAATACAATATAGACAAAGGACAAACATAATTGTATCTTTTACTCCAATACATAAAAATTAAAAATATAATAATAATAATCATTAAAAAAAAAAAAATGCAAACCTGGGTGATTCTATGTCCTCGAAGAAATTCTGCTCTGATTCGGTTGAATGTGCTCCGTGTGACGTTGGACTGGCAGCATCGATATGGGCTACAAGGCAGTCTAATAGGTATCCAATTTCTTTTCTCAGTCACATCTGGCGTAACTGGCATCATTCCATCTTGCAGAGCAACAGGTGTAGGCCAGGGCCAACTGGCAAATGTGTTAAAGAAGTTCATAATAAGGGCACTTAAGCAAGCATCTGGACTCGTCTGACAAACAAAAGCTGATAATATAGCTAAATGTATCCCTCCGAGGTATCCAAACAGCTGAAAATGAAGAATGAGTTGTCAGATATCCTGCAGATATGGTAATGCTGAGAGGAAAAAAACCTTTATGACTATAATATAGAACGTTGAAGGTGCATAAGAGCTGCAATTTTAAAATAGTGAAAGCTCTTAATTCCAAAATTTTCTTTCGTGTCTTTTTTTGTTATAAAAATTAAGAACAAAATAGAGAGTTACACTGTCCATTTCCAGCCAGAGTGGTACTTTTTTTTTTTTTTGGATCCAACCAGAGTCATACTTAGTTATTATCAGGACTGACAAAAAGCCATCAAAAGTCTCATCAAAATAGGCAACAACCATGTACAAAACCTACACAAATTAAATGAAGCCAGACAGCCAATACATAACTGGTGAAAACCAACCTATGCAAACCAAATAATGTGTGTGTGTGTGTGTGTGTGTGTAGAAGCATGATTTATGCATAGTCATATGAACAACATGTGAGCAAAGTGAGCCTAAAGTGCCAACCCTTCAAACCAGATAAAATAATGCAAACGGAGGAGCATGTTCAGCAAGTCATAGATGTAATACATTTTATCATATTAATGATTTCCTCAACTCATTCAGACTTTAGAGGCCATGCTATATTGCTATTTACAATGCTAAATTCCAAATACAATTCTCGAAGGTGGTATAGGTCGATTCGTAGGATTTGGTGTAGTGATTTATTTATCACTCTTTTCTTCAAAGACTTTTACAGGATAACTTTTTTTCTTACTTATATTTATTTATTATTTTGGATAGTTTATAACAACCTCCTTTCCCTATTTTTCTTGATAATCAGTAAGTTAAGAAAGTAGTGCTCCACAAGCTTCTTCTTCTAGTCATACCAATTACAGGTACAAACACCAGTTTTATGCTTTCTAAAGATTAATAAACAGTCATGAAGCGCATAAATTTGAAGGCAAAACGTCCATCTCTTAGTGAGAAAGATTGAGCAAAGAAGACTTACGTTACCATAAATACCACGTTGTTTGGCCCAAGACTTGATGCACCGCAGCAATGACTGGAAATTCTGTAGCATAGGAACCATTAATATGAGAAATCTATAATATAATGAATACTCAAAAAATGAAGTAATTAGTCATTATACAATATAGAGAAGATCCACATAATGTTATGAAAAAATGGCAACTCACATCTTTCATCAAATTGACTAACTAGTATGTAAACTCCATAAGTAACAGTGCCAAGCTCCTATCCCCTGACCAAAACCAACAAATCCTAATTTCCATCAAATTCATTCTTCTCCCACTTGAACAAAGCACATATACATGTTTTCAAAGATTTATAATGGATCTTACTTCAGTATCAAAATCCTGGAAGCCATCCACAAAGAATAAGAATGTACGAAGTAATAATTATAAAAGACAATAAAGAATTGGATGAAATTGCAACTAAACAGGTCTTGGTATTTCCATATTGATTAGTAAGAACCCGTGTAGTAATTTTTCCCAAAAACTCATACTCAACAATTTGTTTAACCAAATCAAATCACATGCTCTAGGCTAGCATAAGAAGCATGTTCAAAAACGATTGACACAATTTTCGATATTTTTTAAAAAAAAAAAAAAAAGGTTACTGAAACTAAAATATACTACCTCCAGGTTTGGAACAAGTTGAAGGATGCATTGGTTAACACGTACACCAGACAAGCTTTTCCAACTAGTTTCATCAATATTGACCAAGAACATTGGATTCAGCAGGTCCACATTCTGCAATTACAATATTTGGCAAGTCAAGTAAATTATTTTACAAAGTTGTGTTCGCTGTACCACTGAAACTAAAACATTGTACAAACTCAACCATGAAAAAAATATACGTATTTCTCATTTATCCCTATATACTACGTATATAACTTAACAAAGTATTTTTTCCATCTTCAAGCAGAAAGCCCTTACTTCAGGAACTGACGTAACTTGAAGCTTAGCATACGGCATATCAACAGCGACCCCTTTAAATTTAAATCGCATTAATGGCACCTTAGCATCCTTAACACAATTGATTTCAGACACTTCAGGTTTGCCTTTGAGAATATTGTATAAAACAATACAGAAATCCTCCTGAAATGCGAAAGACTGATATGAGACAACCTAACACAAAAGCCACTCATGACTCACCAATTCCATTTATAGATGAAAAAGGAAGCTTACTTCCATAGTAGCAAACCCAGGACCAACACATAGAACATCGATATCTGATTCTGAATTATGAACCTGGGTAAATGATAAAAACAAAATTACAACTAAAGATTTTGGATTATATTTTTCAGTAATCACCAGCCATGCAAAAAGCTCTAAAAAAAGTGTTCACGTATGTCTAATGCACCATTAACCTAATTACTTAATCTCTTGAAAGTTGAAACCAATATATATTCAGAGCATAGGTTCTGAGATATATGAATTAACAGAACCATGAAGAGCTTTATTAAGAGCAGATTCAATCTTCGAATGACTGTAGTAGCCCTAGTAGGATTACATTAATATGCAGTAATAAAAGGCAAATAAAGAAGCTTAAGAAGAGAATGAGGGAAATTGATAACTGGTTGTATTTACAATGCCATTATATGATCAACATGAGAAATAAAGCCCCAGAGTAGCTGGACAGTCCAAAGGAGGAGAGAAGCACGGATATTGATCACATGAATTCCCCTTTCCGTTTCCCTTTACTACTGACATCATTTCCAAACCTTGCAAATCTTTAGGCAAAGTCCTACAGTATTCTCCGTCTTTCACCCAAGGCAAGTTCTGACAGAATCTTTTACCAAACCTGGTGACATACTGACATAACCCCTTAATCCAACTTGGCATGTCTTTCATACATATACTTGATTGGAGGCGTACAGAGGGTATTGCGATGCATTACAAAAGACACCAAGGAATTTCAGTTTCAACTTTCACAGAGATTACAATATCATACAACTTCTACAGCTTGCACATAGAATAGTTTCAAAAGCACAGTCAATTGGAATCTTTTTAAGACC